AAAATCATTTTCTTCTCCTCATTTGAAAGTTAGTTTTGACAGTCCTATGTCTTTCTACACCCAAAAGGGAAGTTTGATACCCATGTGGAAACAACCTGTGTCAACTTATTAAAGGTTAGGCAGCTTATGATTCATAATAATAATGAAAAGTTGAAATGCATATCTGTGATTAAGCCATTGTACTTTTGAGAGCCAAAAACCTTACTATGTTTCTATGAGTTGATGATAAGAAAAAATTTATTCAAAAGTTCACAACTTTGTGAAACATTCATGTTTTATTAATGTGAAAATTTTTATGTTACTATTTTGAAAATTAAATTGTATCATGTATACAAATTGCTGACCATGATGAGCTGCTAATAAGTTAAAAATTCCAATATTGCAGATATGAGAAGATGATGAAGAAAAGTAGGAAAATTTTATTTCAAAATTATTTTAGAGATGGAGAAATTGGTTTCGTTGGAGTTAGGAAAGAAGCTTGAAGGTTAGACTAAAGTAAAAAGAATCAATAATCTTTTGAAGGTTTTCATGTGCTATATTCAATGTCATGCTCTGATATATTTTGAGGAGATACAACTTTTAAATTTATTTTATATTTGTTGAAAATTGATTACAGAGAAGAGAAAAGGGTAGAAAACTATCTGATGAGAATAAATTCTGGACAAAAAACTAGCAGAGTGTTCTCCTCTCCTGTGACTGTGTGACACTCTCCATGCCTGTGACTCAGAATAAACACACTCTTCTTATGAACAATCTCTTTGTAAGTCACATGTGTAACAGGGAGACAGATTGGCTTGGTGGTAAATGCAGAGGGTGATGTCACAGTTCTGGTTTGAGGTATTGGAGCCATGATTAGGCTGTGAAAAATGTGATCTTTTCCATGTTTTCCAGTAACAATGTTTGCTTTACTGCTCCCACAAGATTACTGTGAAGACAAATGATACATATGAAAAATATACTCAGATTTGTATATCTCTTTTTTAAAAAGTTTCACTTGTTAGTGTTTTGAAAATTATTAAGAGCTGGTTACAGGCTGACAAGATGACCTGGCTTTGAACCAAAGCACACACATCATAGAAGAAAAGAACCTATTTTCTCAAGTGCCCTCAGCCACACATTTCATGGCCTTGGTCCTCTCATACATATATGTAGATATAAAAATGATAAAAATATAAGCTATAACTCTATCAAATGTAAAATAAAGTGAAGAATAAATTCACCTATTAACTAGCTTGAACACTTTATTTCGTTTCCTTATATTATTTTTCTCAAGTTTCATGTTTGTTTCTTTAAAAAAAAAAACTTCTTAATTCATGAATAACCGTTACAGCCAAGAAGAAGGCTCAGCAGGAAGTTTACTTGTCATCAAACATGAAAACCTTAGTCTTCGGGGCCCACATGGTAAAACATTAAAAACCTATCTGCTGTGGGTTACCTGCGGACTTTCTCATTTCCCATGGCATGTGTATCATACACATATGAACATGTAATAAGTAAATAAATATGAAGAATAAATCACACACATTATTAGGAAAAAGCATGTCCATAAAAGGACCTCTAATTATGAGTGTATCACAATCATATCCTTAAACATTGTGATAGGGTATCAAAGAGCCTACTAGAGAGAGTTGTTCAGTTTTCTCTAGATACTTTGCCACAGAAATGAAGCTTAAAGGGGGCATGGCTTCAGTAGACATGTGTGTGGCCCATCTTCTATGAAAAGATGCTCTCGTTATTAAAGACCATGAAAAATTCTTCTCCACTATCTGAAAACTGTACCTAAAGAATAAATAGACATGATATTTGAATCCAGTGCTCAGATAAGCCGGTAGGTATGGAGAGAAAGTCTGCTGGATAACTAGAACTATAAGTATAGATTTTCTCTGTATTATATTCTGTATGGAAAAAAGGTGGTAGAGATGACCAACTCCACAACGTATCCGTCTTGGTGGTGTTTAATTTCTGTTTAGCTTCTTTCATTGTAAGTTAAATTTCCAGCCTGCCTTCATACTCAGTAACAGCAGACCTATCCCACTCTACATGATACCAACGGCTACTTGGTAGGAGAGCCATTTTGGATTGGTTGCAATAGTAGATGAAGAAATCCATTAATCAAATAGTTTCACTGTATCCAGACACTTAGCATGTTAACCCGTGTGCTATGTCATGTTCTAAGAGAAAACACATAAATTCATAGATACAGCTTCGTCTTGCAATAGGACACCCAATAAGATGGTATGAGGACTGTGATCTAGCTGAAATAACAGTAGTTCATGGGGGTCAAGTTGTTTTTATTTCTTAATATCTTCAGTCTATTACCTTAGGCAAAATCTACTCTTCAAGAATGATGACTCTAAATAATTCTTCAGTGGCTAAGGCTATCCGATTGATAAAGCAGAAATAAGACTATTTTTATGAACTTCAGGACATCTATTAAAAAAAATATGTTCCACAAAACTATTGAAACATTCTATTTATTGATAATGATTGTAGAATCTTAGTAGTAACTCTTTATACTAAAAAGATGAGATTATTAAACATTACTATAAGAAAAGATGAAATTAAACACATGTGGGTACATACATGATCACACACAGATTCAAATAGTATAATAAATTCAAGAATACAATGTATTGGATTTTGCTTGACATGAGTCTCCAAAACAAAACAAAATGAAACAACAACAGAACAAATTCCTCCAAATAAAATGCTCATTTTTCTTGTAGTCTTCATGTACATCATGTTGTAGATTAACACAGTTCAATGTATAGAGGTTTTAAGTACAGAGGATTAGGTTTTAAGTTTAGTGATTTAGTGCTTGATTATTACATACAAGGCACTGACACATTTTCAAAAATTTCTACCTAAATATGGTATGAATTCCTGTTTGCTTAGTGTGATCAAACATAGGCTTAGACTTAAAGAAAATTTCTCAAAAGAATTAAAAGATAATTATCAATACATGCAAAAGATATCACAACTGGAGTAATGTGTTATATACATAAATTTAATTAGGATATATTTATTGAGGAAGTCATTGAATTATTTCTCTAGCCTATATTATTTAAGCATTATAAATATGCTATCTTCTTAGAGCATGATAGTATATAGTATACTCATTAAGCTATTTTTACATGAGAAAACAAGAATTTTTGTTTTTATTTTCTATTGAGTATATAAAATACTTTTAACAAATATATTTATAAATATAATACAAAGGACATAAGCCTACAAATGGAAAAAATAATTTAAAGAAACAGATTGCATTACATAATCATGCAACTATAATAACTATGCCTTAAATAATATATATTCAAGAATAATTGAGAAAGAATTCAGAATGTAAAATTAATAAGATATCAATTATTATGATAAATTCAGAATGTGAAGTTGGTAAGACATCAATTATTATGATAAATTCAGAATGTGAAATTGGTAAGATATCAATTATTATGATAGTGAAAATACTGAAATTTTTCAGTAGAAAAATTAGAGAAGCTTTTCTACTACACAACTTCTGTACTCAAGGCTCAGGGGACATCACAGAAGATGGGGTGGGGAGATTGTAACAGCCAGAAAATCAGGAAAACTGTAAAACTGTGTCTTCTAGAAATGACAGAATAGTCTCATCAATAACATCTTATCAATATGTACTTGAACAAGAACTGGAGAAGCACACTATCAATAAAGATTGCTAACATGATAGAGGGAGATATCAAGAGGCCCCACCCCTAGGCAGAGATCTACAGGCAACCAAGGGATGTGGAGAGCAGGAGAAACAGTCCCCCTCAGGAGTGAGCCTTTCAAATGGTTCTCCAATATCAACTGAGCAGCACTGAAATCATACACTATTAATGCTAAACAGACTGAGAAGATTGTATTTATAATTACACACACACACACACACACACATCTCATATGTTTATACTTGCACAAAAATCAGTTCAATCAATAATCTAAACTACAACAGTTCCGAAAGCTTTGTGAGGAGCACTGATATCCTAGGATACATTATGTTATGATTTATTAATATGTGTTTTCCTCCAAGGATTCTAAAGAAAAGATAAATGGGAAATTCTACATGCCAAATTCCCCTTTGGAGAGTCACAGGGCTTCAAATTTAGCGAAGAACTCTGAAATTAATTAGAACATTATTGTTCATTATGGTAAAGTATCCACAACATGAAATATATTTTAAAGCTCATGGTTTGGCTACATTTACTACGTTCATCCTCTAGTTGCAGCTGTACAGCTTTTCAATCAAAATCTGACCAAATCCATTTACTTCTGGGAAATACGTTCCATTCTTTAATTCAGTGTGTCTCCAGGAGAATACATACGTGGAAAAATTCATCAAGTCTTCTCTTTTTAAAAATTAGAAAAATGTTGAGAGTATAAAGTCATTTCTCAAAAATCATGTTGACAGTCAGGATGGTATACATCATCATCAGATTTCCTATTTCTAAGGACAGGATATTTGGTTTTTCAAGAAGCTTCCTCTTGTTTCCATGTCTGTTCCTGTTCAGATGATTTGATAATTTACAAGTGTATTCTGACATTCTTCCTGGAAGAGTTTAAGATTCAAATAAGCATCTTAGGCTGAGGATATAGTGCAGTCAGTAAAATGGTTGCATACCAACCATGAGGCCCTGAGTTCTGCCCCAAGAGTCTAGGTAAGACAGTGGGCATGATGGTGTGCCCCTTTAATCCCCCATCCTGGGAAGTGGAGACAGGGGAATCCTTACTTCCTGGAAAGCCAGTCTCACCTAATTAGTGAGCTCTAGGCCAAAAGGAGACATTGTTACAAATGGCAGGGTTCCTAAAGATGACACAGAGATAGTCCTTTGGCCTCCACATGCACACTCATGTCTACACACGGGCATAAAATAAGTACTTAATATTTAAAAGTTATACTGTACGTATGATATGGATTTATCATTTTGATTTTCTTGTTAGAACTTTAATTGTAATAACGCTAATGCACGCAATTCTGTTCTTAGGTCTCTTTAAGGTCATGGCTGATAAAACTCCATACCTGACAATGGAAGAAATAACAAGAACCATTAATATTGGACCCAGCAGACTAGGTCATCCTTGCTTTTATCACTTGAAGGATATAAAACTAGAGAATCTCACTATTAAGCAAGGTGAGCCAATCCGGTTCATCTCAGTTGAAGAGATTAATGGAGAAACACTGGTGAATTGTGGTGTGGTCAGGAATCACCAGAGCCATTCATTTACTTTGCCATTGTCACAAGAAGGAGAATTCTATGAGTGTGAGGATGAACATATCTATACCCTAAAAGAAATTGTCGAATGGAAGATTCCCAAGAACAGAACACGGACAGTGAAACTTACAGACTTCTCAAATAAGTGGGACTCACCCAATCCATTCCCAGAAGACTTTTATGGTACACTGATTCTCAAGCCTGTTTATGAAATCCAAGGTGTGCTGAAATGTAAGTATCCACTGAGGATGGTATCCTGTGTGAGTGTGCATTGTTCGATTTGGGCTAGAGAAGCTTTAGACCCTGAAGAATGGAACTCTGCCCCTATTGTTCATTAGGTCTCTTAGACTTAGGTTCTCCATCTGTACATCTAACCACAGACAGCACTGCCTTCAAGAGAGAACTATGAAGTGGGTATGCACATATATTATAAACCATTTAATGATCTCTCCAAGTGTTAGATGGTAAACTATCAGATACAGGTAGACTAAAATCCTCATTGTTTTTATTACTGGTTATTAAGTGTTAATTTTTAGAACAAGGATCAGAAAGCAGTATTCTTTAGAGTCCCTTATTCTTACCTCATGACAATTTTTGTTTCAAACTCTTAGTCACTTATGACTGGTCACCATTTCTTTTAACATAGATTTCCTGATGTAACAAAGATGATATGTTGAAGTAATTTTCACATTGGTGTATTTTAATATCCAATTTTCATTGTATTTTGTATATTTTAAAATATCTGCAGAGACTGTTATTATTTCAAATATTTCAAACTTATGGCATGTTAATGGGAAATCAATAGAGTATAGATTCTGAACCTGATTGCAGCCAAGCGTGCCCAATAACACTAGCTTCTCTGGAGGTTGAGGCAGGTGGATGGCAAGTTCAGGCCTTCCCAGGTAACACAGACAGTACAAGGCCAGTCTGGTCAACTTATCAAAACTCTATCTCAAAAACAAACAAACAAATAAATAAATAAAAGACTACTAAGCTGGAAGATGTAGAACATGTGAGGATAATAATTCTAGAAAATTCAGCTGAATATTAAGAGTTCTGTTCAATGGACATAGCAATGGGAAAGACAGGAAACAGATGTACTTAGTATGTGCAAGATGTACCATTGGCAGGGTCTAGAAGTCTATTGGGAGGCAACTTGGTCAACTGGTCAACTTCATTCTCAGCCTTTGGTTTTATTTACTGGCTGGATGACTATGCATTTATTACATATAAACAGCAGAAGAGCAGTGTTTATTAGAAAAGTTCAGGTAGATTTAAATAGAGTTTTCTGCTATCTAACTAAGAACCAGCCTTTGGTTAAATATCCTTCATGAAATGTTTAACCAAGGTTTCTACTATGTATTAAAATGAAATTTTTATGTTCATTATCATGGGTAATTTTTCTGTAGGAAATTTTAAATATTACTTCTCATCTGTATCGGTAGCTATCTGTGATGAGTATGCATGTATACAGGCTGTTTCATGAAAACAAAAGATGAGAACCCATCATAAATGACACATTTTAAAAACTTTTGGGTTATAGATATTATCCTCTAAGGATGACAAGGAAATGATGCTTTGACTCCATTGTGGTCTTCTGAATTGTTTTTTTAGATTGAGGTCAGATGTTTCTTGAATTTAAAAGACATTGCACAACCACTTTTACTGTGCCTGGGTATCAGACAGAGTGTAAACCCCTTAGACCTGAGTTCCCCACCCCACCCCACCTTCAAAGTGACAGGAAAAGAACTGGTCAGGAGAGGTAGGATGTTTTACAATAACCTTAGTGGAAGATGGAAAATTATCTAAATAGCTATGAGTTCCTGAAAAGAAAAACATGACAAGTAATGAAGAAGAAGGAATACAAAGATTTTACCCTCATGGCAAGTTTTTAATATATTATTAATGTGACAATTTGTATCCCAGAAAAAGAAAAAGCAGTAGAAATAAATTATAGCACTTTGCATGTACATCTTGACCCCTTTGGGTGTCAAACAACCCTTTTACAGGGGTCACCTAAAACCATTAGAAAACACAAATGTTTACAAGCCATAACAGTAGCAAAAGCAGTTATGAAGTATAAATGAAAATAATTTTATAGTTGGAGGTCACCACAGCATAAGTAGCTGTATTAAAGTGTCACAGCATTAGGAAGTTTGAGAGCCATGGTGTTAAAGGGAAACACATGTTCCTGGATTCTGGTCAAAACTTCTCTATAGGCTTAATATCTTCCTAGCTATCAGACACACTAAGACATTGATCAAAGAGTTACCACATTTTCAGGAGAGGTAATGATCTAAAGCCTGTAACTACTGGTCTCATACAAGTATTTTTAAACTGTGCTTTTGCTTATTAAAAAATAAAAAAAAATTCATGTAATAAGGCACATGGAAGTTTCAGTATTTACAAATGAAAAATTGAGTTATTTAAGTTTGCTTTATAAAAATAGAGGTCTTGAATATTGATTTCATGAATCTTATGTCTTGATGCATGGATTTATAATCAGAGCCTTCTTAACTAAAAATTTTAGCATCAGATAGAACCTTTTGTCTTTTGGAGGAAAGCTTAATGCTGCCCAAAGCTTTGTAGCCCAGCCCAGTCTTCATGAACTTATATAAAAATATGAACTCATGTCATAAACTCAAACTTCTACGCAAATAGGAGAGTCAACAAAATCATTTTGGATATCATATATTAGATAATGAATGAATAGGAGAAAAATACTTTCATTTGTAGTTTCCTACTGCCTTGGGCTTCATCACTCTGTCTTCCTGGGGCATTCCCCTTGCTTCTGTCACTGAATTTAGGAGAGGTATTTCCAACTTTTATAAAAATCAAAAAAGCTAAATAATAACCGGAAAGATATGACAATGTAACATGCAAACCTTATAGCTTTGACAGCTCTCCAATTTCCCCTTTACTCTCCTACTCCAAGGTAACTCTTTAGTATTTTCTCTACTGCTTTCTGGTATTTGAATTTCTGCTTCCAAATGATAGGAGCATGAGTGGATTTTCAAGTCATGGACCATTTTAAATTCCCACAATATTTGAGACAATGAAGAACCCATTCATGCATTTTTCCTATAGTAAAGCTATTAGTCTATCTCTCTGTGGTATAATTTTCCCCTGAGGCCATTTCTCCTGGAGTCTCCTACCTTGTACTCCAACCTTAAGCTGTTGCCATACAGACCTATTATGTAGGGCCTTCCATTGCAACATACCCTGGCGATGCCTTCCTCTGCCTTGCTATCATGTTGAGTAGCTATTTCCATAATCAATAAGGAATCTCTTCGTTCTTCATTTTCTTCTAGTTCTGACAAGACTCATACTCTTTCTAAGTCAAGAATCTGCTGGTTTGAAAACTGTTTATCCCCTACACCCACACACCAAATGGACAGTTTAGCCACCATGAAATTCTAGGTGAACAATGATTTCTTAACATTTCTGTTTTCCCTCTTTGGTGATTGCCTTGAGAGACTCTGGCATCCTGTGGTGTTGGCTGTGGCTGTGGCAGGTCTGAATTTTCATAGTGATGACAATTTTGCATCTGGCAGCTTAGATGTTTCTTTTCTGAAAAGACTTTTTGTGCTAGTGTCTTCTCAGTAATACTTTGTGGTCTGCCTGTCTTTAACTTTCACCTGGATATCAAAGCCTCAACCCTAAACTAAGACTTTTCCTTTTTGCCTCCTTGACTTAGTTTACCTTCATGGAAAGTTCCTTCACACAGTCCCACCATCATGATGAATTTTCAATTTCAGCTTTCATATTTTTACTGAGAAATATATCATACATAGTTTTAAATGTTAGTTACCCCAATTCACCTTTAATGATGCAGTATTTTAATCCAGAGAAATTTCTATATTTTCTAAAGTTTTAATGCATTTATATCGTTTATTTGGTTTCCTGTTTGGTTTTGTCTTCCTTCATGTTGTGATCTATCAGTTTAGTTAAGTGTTTCCTTGAGTCCTCGCTGACTATTTGCGACGTGTCCTATTTACATCTCACATGAAACAAAGCTTCAGTTCTGTAGACTCTCTGTGTTGATGAGTTCTGGCTTCTCCATATAGCTGTCCCATGCTGGGCATTACTGCTCTACTTCTATTATTTTTCCTCTGGAATTTATACAGTTTCACTAAGATTTTCTCCTGCTGTTTGCTGTGGTTATGAAGTTGTTGAATCCAAATGATGAGTAGCTGAAGGACTCATCATGATCCCTATGGTTTTAGATAACCTGATGGTTTGTATATGCTTGGCCCAAGGAATGGCATTATTGAAGTAGCTTTGGGCTTGTTAGAGTAGGTGTGGACTTGTTGGAGTAGGTGTGGCACTGTGGACATGGGCTTTAAGACCTTTCTCCTAGCTGTTTGGAAGCCAGTCTTCTTCTAGCAGCCTTCAGATGAAGATGTAGACCTCTCAGCTCCTACTGCATCTTGCCTGCCTGGATGCTGGCATATTCCTGCCTTGAGGATGATATACTGAACCTCTGAACCTATAAGCCAGTCCCAATTAAATGTTGTCCTTATAAGAGTTGACTTGGTCATGGTGTCTGTTCACAGCAGTACAACCCTAACTAAGACAGATAATATTATTGTTTTCTGACTTAATCTTTCTTCCAGTGGCCCAGGGTTCTGAGGTACTGTTTCCTATGTAGGGAGGTTGTAGCAGAGTTTCCCATTTTCCCTAGAGACCTGAGCTTAATATTCAGACATTTGAATAAACTCCCCTTTTAAGACTCCACCCTTTATTTTCACATTTAAATGACTCATATATCTTCAATTGCCAAGCATTCTGTGGGACAGGAAAGGCTTACGTTTATCCGTGTCTCTGTGCTCAGGCACATGCTCATTGCTTGTCCTAGTCAACCCAACCATTTCACTTTCTTACAGCTGGTCACGGTCTCCTTCACATTTTACTTTGCTAATGTCAGATTTGCCGGCTCTAACTCTTTTTTGTTTGTCTGTTTGTTTTGTTTTTGTTTTGTTTTGTGTTTTTTCTCTCTTTCCGTGTTACTATTTTATCTTTGTAGTAAGTTTGAGGTTTAAGAGGATTACAAAGATATATTTCATGCATAATCCTCTCTGTGCACTTAACTTTAACCTTGTGCAGAATTTTGGCTAGACCTACTGTAAATTCTGAAAGTACTATGTGATATTATTGCCAATATTACTAAATACTTGTGCATACTTGAAATAAAGTGGAAAAATTTTACAAAGTATTTACCAAGAAAATTC